GTTGGGGGCTGCCTGTTCAGCAGCCTTTGTGAGAGTAGCTGTTAAGTTTGTTAGTGCATCATGCACTTCAGTTGGGTTTTGGAGGCTTACTTTTAGGTTTGTTTTCTTAAGTTTCGGTGCGATGATGTTCCCAGTTAGTTCTTTTGTTATGATGCCCAGTCGGAGGTTTCTGTGGATGATGAGGCTGCTGATTGTTGCTAGTATAGGCGAGTGATCAGAAGAGAGATCATAGCCAGCTTCTGTGTGCATGTATGATGGGGAGATGCCTCCGGTGATGAAAAAATCTAGGAGATCCGGAATTTTGGAGTTATGGGTGGGCCAGTAAGTTGGAGCGCCGGTTGGCAGGATAGAGTAATTTCTCTCCTGGATCAGGTTTGCTAGTTCTCTACCTTTGGTTGCTGTGAGGCAGGAGCCCCATAGGGGTGCTTACAGTTGAATTCACCTCCTGCTATGAATATTGGTCCGAGCGTCTGGAAGAACTCGCTAAATTGCTCTTTCTTTATATTATACCGAGGAGGGCAGTATACTGAAGCAATTTTTAGGTCGTACGGCATCATTCTAACCAGTATTAATGTGGCTTGCATATGATTTTTCTCATACTTCGGTAGTTCAAGATGTCAAATTGTATTTTTGATTAGTATAGCGGCCCCAGCGTGGGCCGTGTTGTCAGGGTGATTTGTGTAGTATATGTCGTGTATTGGGGTATTTTGAAATAAGATCTGTCTGTGAAGTGTGTTTCGCTAATTAGCATGACGTCTCTGAGGTTATGGCGAATGAAGGTTTCTACCTCATTTTTGTGTTGCAGAAGGCCATTGGCATTCCATTCAGCAATGTTGAGGAATTTAATGGATTTTACCGATGGAGTTGTTAGTATGTTTATCACCATGCTGTTCTGTTGGATGATTTGATTGAACATGGACTTGAACTCCTCTAGGAATTTGGTTAAAATGTTGGTATCTTCATTTGCGGTGTAGTTTAATCCCCTTTTGGCCATGTCTGCGTAGCTTGTGTTTTGAAAGGTTTTGGTGATAATGTTGCTGGTGTTGCCGTGTTGTCTTAACCTCAATTTTTGATGAGATGTTTGGGTTTATTATTTGTTGGTGAATGTTTAATCTGTTGTTTGCATTGTTGGGTTTGAGTAGACTATGATAGAATTCGCATCCTTTGTAGTTGGCGGGGTGATCGCCATTGCACAGAGCACATCTGGCAGGAGTACCTCTGGATCTTTTACAGATAAGAGGTGTTATGTGCGCCTCCGCATCTGACGCATGCATAAGGCCTGTTGCAGTATGACATGGAGTGTCCGTACTGTTGGCATCTCCTACACTGAGTGATTCCGCTTGCCTTCCGTAATGGTTCTATGACGACTGCTTTGTTCTGGAGGTAGTTTATTTTGTAGACTTCTTTGTTGTTCCCGGAGGGTTCTAAGTCGATGAAGAATATGTTTAGGGGCACTTTTATCACTCTGTGTCTTCCATTTATGATGTTTCGAACGTGATGGCCCCTTTTTGTCAGTTCTGTTTGAATTTCTTCAGTTCTGGTAGAATGGTGAATATGTTTCAACACTATTCTGAACGCGCGTTCTTCTTTTAGTTGGTATGTATGAAAAATAGCATTGTTTTCTTTGACGAGGGTTACTAATTTTCTATAGTTGTCCGGTGTCCTACAGTTCACTTTTATGGTGTTGTCTGCCTGGCATTTGGTAGTGTATTGTTCTTCCTCCATTATGTCGCCGAGTTTCTCGGCCATCTGCTCATAATTTGTTACCACATAAATGAATATTGGTGGTGGTTTTGGTATTCTATTTTCAGTTTTTGTTTCGTTTGTGTTTTCCTCCATGGGCTCAGGTAATGCACTGAAACTGCTGATTAGTTTGATGTTCACAGCTGGTTCGGTTTTCCTGCTTATTTTTCTTTTTTTGGTGACTTTCACTTTCTGCCAAGTATTTTTGCTACTAGCTATTTCCTCTTCACTGGTAGATGACATTTTGTGATAGTACTGGTTGCTGTTGTATATGGGTTGTTGGATGTTAGGAGAACTGTTGACGTACTCTTGTGGTGGTAGGTAGACTTTGTTGTCGTGTGGTACAGGCTGTCCCGATAGTGGTTGTAATGACCCTTGCGGCATTTGCTTGTTTATTTATGGCATTTGCGTATTATATGGTAGGTTGCTCTGTTTAGCAATTTTGTAGAAAATGCTGGTTGGTTTAGATACGATCCTTGCCTGTTCAGGGCTGTTATCGTTTACACGATTTATTTGTTTAATTTGTTCACTGTGTTCACTATAATAGCACCAACAGAATCAAGGTCAGAGTTATAGTAATATAAAGATATCAACTCACTTGTGTGCGCTTCTAGAAGCAGTGGTACTGATAGCACGAGAGCTCGATTGACATCCGTACGCTACGAAGCTCACTCACTGAAATATTTCTCACATTATCCATTATTAAGCACGATTATGAACGAGTTCTGTCTTCCTCTGATGCTGACAATTCAATTTCCTGAAATTTATTTTCAGACTTATAATTTCTAGGCAGTCGGTTCACAGTTGGCAGTAAGGTTGTCAAGCCTTACGCGCCGGCCGCCCTTTACCGCCCCAAGAAGAATCCTGGTACTCATTTCTGTTAGAGGCTGAGTCGAACCCATGGCCATAGCGCGGCTGGAAGGATTAGCTCAATTTAAAATATCCACAGAAATTTATACAAAATGTTGATTGAAACATCCATGAGAAGAAAGTACTTGGGAAAACTGTTTGTGGATGGGAGAGTAAGAATTAAAATTGATCCCTATGAAATTGTGTTTCAATGTGCTGGCTGGATTCAACTGGTTCTCAGAAGATCGTTATTGCAGGCTCCTATGAACATGGCAAAGAATGTTCGGGATCCGCTGTAGGAGGAAGAGTTCTTGAGTAGCTGAGCGACTGTCGGCGTCTCAAGGAGAACTCTGCTCAATGAATGAAGATACATTGTCTCCCTGTCCAGCTACATGTCCTAAAAGAGAATTCCGTCCGACTGGAAGAGCCGGTTTTGACAAATCAGGATTATGTTTTGGGGGTCGCTGTGCCCGTACCGTTACTTATTCAAGATCACATTGGTAGATATATTTTGGGGGATGGTTTCAATGAAGTAGCAACATTCACCTGAAGTCGTTTGAGTCATTTTCGGGAAAGCTTCCATTATGGTAGCGTAGTTGGTTGAGGCCGGAAGGACGCGGGATCGAATCCCGATGAGGTGGACTTTTTTTCAATTTACCCAATCCTTCCAGCCGCACTATGGCCCTGGGGTTGACTCAACCTATAACAGAAATGAGTACCAGGAATCTTCCTGGGGGTAAAAGGCGGCCGGCATGTAAGGCTGACAACCTCACCGCCATCTGTGAGCCGATTGTCTAGAGAAAATGTGGGAGCCTCGACGTCTCACAACCCTATGGGCCTCCACGGCATGTTACAAGGATAGCTTTATTTCACCTTTTATGTGTTTGGGGGCAATTTTAAGAGTATCATATTTTTGTAATTGCAGTATTTATGATTATCGGGCAGTGGCCTATGATGCATAAGCTCTCAAATACCGAATAAGAATGAAATCCGTCCAACTGTTCAGGGCATATCCATTCTTCTATATATGCATACATACATACATACATACAATCATACATATATTCATACATGCATACAGGCATATAAATGGCATTCCATTAAAAACTTTTTCAATTTACGGAGTTCTGTACATTACGTCCGTGTATCACGGTCTTATCTTACGACTGGTTCAATCAATGATTTGTATCATTTCAAACATATAGTCCTCGATGTTATATGTATTAAAACTGAATAAATAACTTATTGCGCCGATCAGAGTGGCCGTGCGGACTGAGGTATGAACTGTGTTCACTCGCTCGAAAGCTTGGATCGTGGGTTCGAATCCCCCTCAAGGCATGAATGTCTGTATTGTGTACCTTTATTCTATGTTTTTGTTGTTCTGTGATCCTCCGTTCAAGTAGCCCCACCGACTGTGTATACAATCAGGAAACTGAAAAGCGACCGAGGTCCAACAAAGGGTTGTAGAGTCCTAATAATAATAATAATAATAATAATAATAAAGTAATATTGGGCAATTACATATACTGTATATATACTCCCTTTGTGCAATTATAAATGTTTAATAGAATAAGCTTTATGGTTGTCTATGTGCATCTGTTATATCCATGGAAATATTTTGCCTTTACGTGCTTGACTGCAGTTTCATCTTCGAAACTGTACCACTTGAAGTGCAGAGATGTGTCAGTTAAGAGGTGAATTTAATGTAACAAAGATCGGAGTTAGGGAGAAAAGAAGTGCACTATGACAAAGGAGATATAACAAGAGGTGAGGAATGAGGATTCGAAAGTAGTTATTCCCCATTGAAATTCAACTGGCTTTTCCCACTGGTAGATATGAATGTTACATTCTAATACGAGTACATGTAGTATTTGTTCCCAAGCAGATCCGATGCCGTGCGTGCGGATGGACAAAATGGCGACCGGCACGTGGCGGGCTGTGTGCAGTGTCACCACCGTCTCTTGGAGTGAGTGTGCACAAGCGGAGAAGCCGCTGTTTTCAGTCCAACACATGCCCACTGAATGATTCGAGCTCTAAACACAACACTGTAGCTAGTGTCCTGATATGCCTTCGATGTCCGCAGGAAAACATCTTGATAGTTCACTGCCGTAAACAAATATGATGACAATATGAAGTTCAGTATAGTTTAACGCAGCGGGAATTTAAGTACTGTAAATTGTACATAGAATTAAGTTAGTAAGTTTTGTAAATAATGTATATAGCTTCAATATATGCATTTCGATATTTGGAGAAACGAAATCTTCCCATAAGTTCTCGCTTTACATCTATTTCAAGTCATTTTGTTGCATTTCTCAAGTGAGTGATTATGCGAAAAGAATAAGATAAGGTAAACTCTCAATTGAATACACTGTATTGTCAGGTTCGTTACTTTCTGTTTCTTTCTGCAGCAATGTGGAACTCCTCAATTCGGTGCTGAGCCCCATCGAATGCGCTGAGGTCCTAAGCGCCTCAGTGCTGTTTGCTTTTTCGGGATTCCAGATAACGGTGAGTGAAATCCGCATAATCTATTCTTTTATCTCGGATTCTAAGTTCAGGCCAAGGCCGTGCCGTAGCTCAGGTGGGTAGTCGCTGGCTTCCCACTTGGGCGTCTCGTATTCACTTCTGCGTGTGGGGTCATGTAGGATTTGTGGAGGACAATGTAGCAGTACGACAAGTTTTCTCCGAGTACTTAAATTTCCCCTTTCATTTTTCATCCCACCAGCTGCTCAATATTCGTTAATCATATTGTAATTGACACTACACAGTCTCCACATTGACAGTACCTTTAAGTAGCAAATTTAAAACTAAAAGAAATTGACCAACTAGGGACATATGTAACAAGTGGGCTCAGTCTCACCCCACTCCCACGGATTTAAAAAGTTGAGAGCTGATGACAATTACGCGCTATTTCTTTTTCATACAAATTAATTCAGGTAAATATTCGCTGGGTAAAAAGTATAAAATATCATGGGAATATATAGTTGAATTTTTTTATCTGAATATCTATTACGCCAAGGTGACCTCAGTATAGATTGAATTAATCCGGTCTAACATTTCACATTAATAACCTTCTTACAAATGCCGGACGTGAATTTCTTACGCAACTAGTTACTATAGGATCCTGACGATGGTGTATAACACACAGAGATATTGGGTTTTCGGACTTTATCCATCGTCCTCGTTTTTAAGATAACTAAGGAAAACACGACGTTTCGGAAACTGGATCTGTTTCCATCCTCAGGTGAAGGAAAACATCTATTCTGTTGGGTCCCTTAGAAAGAGCTAGCCTAAATCACAGTGACTGAGGCTAGGACGATGGCTAAAGTCCGAAAACCCAATATCTCTGTGTTCCTACGCAACCTTTCACACTCTCCCGCCCGACTGGCACAAGACCACATCTTGTGGAAGGGAATTCCATCCAGAATCAGAAATTTTAAATCTGTTCTACGGCTGGAGAATACACTAAGTGAGTCTTTCCTTTATAACGTCTGAGGTCTTCTGAGACAGCCGTGGAAATTTCGGAAGACAATGAACATTCTGATTTTTTTTTTCTCAGAGAACCACGAAGCGTCCTCATTCACCGTCCGCCAGCGCAAGTAGTTTCCGATATCTTTGTTCATAAGTCAGAGAGTGCCCGTATTATTCATATTTTAAATATAATATATAGTATATAACACACCGGTGTATGTACTCGGCCTATATGTCAATTTGGGCTCAGTGTATGATATACTAACTACAGGAAAACAGGAACTGTAAATGGCACACACGTGGTCTGACAGTAAAACTCGTGAACTCATCGCGGTAAAAGTGCTACATAACTCATCTCTGAATATCACTGTGTTCGCCTTCAGAGTACTCCTCCTGGGAAGCTATACACCGATGCCAGCGCCTAGTTCACCCTTCAAAACAATTTTGGAACTGATTTTGTGGAAAGGGCTTCAGAGCTGCCGTCGTATTACTCCTGATGTCATACAGGTCATAAAAGGTCGTCCTTCCAATATTTCCTTTATCTTCGAGAACAGAAGAAAGTAACTGGGGCCTAGAGCCGGTGAATAGGAAGGGAGTTTCAACACAGTTATTTGCTTACTAACTAAAAACTCCCTCATAGACAGTGCTCTAATTCAGCTCCAACATTCTCGTGACGACACACCAAAACACACTCAGACAATAATAGACGCCACTCAGAAAGAGATTGCCATAGATCAACAACAACACAGCTGTGAAACGCTGATATGCCAACGTCATGAACCCATACTGAGTTTCATGCCCACTGCTGCCGCGGGAAGAGCGTGGTGACGAGTTCACGAACTTTATTGTCAGACATCGCATGCCGAGGCATGTCATCTTCGGCAGCAACCCATCTGCTGAAACAGTGTTGTATTGACAAGAGCACAATAAGGGACTTGCTGTATTGAGTGATATAGTTTTACAACCGATGCAGGTTGTGTCGGACCCAGTACATCTGCCTCGGCAGATAAGTTTCCTCGCTTTCGTCGTGCTGGAACTAGGTCTGCACTGCTGGTATGCCGACAGCCTCACTGCTCAGGTAAACAAATTGAAGCTAAGAAAGTTCTGTGACGAAATCATGAGTCTTCTTCTTCTCAGATACATCCACTCCCCCATACGCCTTCATGGAGTTGTGCTTAATTGGTTAAGCAGAGAGACAACTTTACCTTTTACCTCTTTCCTTATATGTCAGTACGTACCTTCAGGTCAGCAGCAAATATAAATTAATAATTACTATTTTAACGTGAATAGTATTTCACGTGGAAACTATTAGCGTGTTTGTGGTCCAATTCCACACAATTTTACATGCTTACCTTCAGTTTCACCGATCACAGTGAACACTGGCTCGCTCGCTCGAACTCTGGGATTAAGGGCATTAATGTCTGTATTGTATGCTTTCATTCTGTTCTTCTGTTGTTCTGTGTATAGGTGGAGGCATTGAGACGTGCTGATCCTCCGTCCAAGTAGCCCTACCGACTGTGTGTAGGATCATACTTACTTACTTACTCCTAGAGTTGAGCCCTTCTGGGGGAGCCGCCAATCCCGCAGCTACTCAAGAATTTCCCAGCATTTTATGGAACCCGAAGGTTCATTACCGTGTTTACAAGAGCCCTCCACTGGTCCCTATCCTGAGCCCGATCTATTCAATCCATTTCATCCCATTCTATCTCTCTAAGATCCATTCTAATATTGTCCACCCACCTACGCCTTGGTCTTCCCTGTGGTCTCTTTCCTTCTGACTTTCCCACCAATATCCTATACGCATACCTCGTCTCCCCATTCGTGCTACATGACCTGCCCACCTCATCCTCCTTGACTTGATCATTCTAATTATACTTGGAGAAGAGTACAAATTATGAAGCTCCTCATTATGAAGTTTTCTCCAACGTCCTGTTACTTCATCTCTCTTCGGTCCAAATATTTTCCTTAACACCCTGTTCTCAAACACCCTCAGTCTATGTTCCTCCCTTAATGTCAGAGACCAAGTTTCACACCCATACAGAACCACAGGCAAAATTATAGTTTTGTATATTCTAATTCTTATGTTTCTGGACAACAGACGAGACGACAAAAGGTTCTGGGCTGAATGGTAGCAAGCATTACCCGAGTTCAATCGCCTCTTAATTTCCTCCTGAATCAGCTCTTCGATTTGTTATCGTTGTTCCCAGATATCTGAACTGTGCCACATTTTCAAAACATCTGTTTCCTATCTTTATGTCATGATTTTGCCTTGCATTTTGGTGACGAGACAGTAACATATACTTAGTTTTCTCTGTGTTTACTTCTAGACCAAACTCTTTTTTTTTCCTTGGCACTACAGCCCCTGTGGGCCTAGGCCCACTTCTCCGATCACTTCGGTTTTTCTAGATCTTACACATTCGGTAGGACTCCTTCGGCGGGTGATCAGCACGTCGCAAGGCCTCTACCTGTACACAAACACAGAAAAACGCACACACACAAAATAAACATCCGTGCCCTGAGTGTGATTCGAACCCACGATCCCGGTTTCCAAGCGAGCGAAGACAGTACATGCCTTAGACCGCTCGGCTACCGTGACCTGCAGACCAATCTATTTACTTGCGTCAATTAAAGTTTGTGTGTTTGTCTTTATGGTATCTACATTATCACCCAGTGGATTCACATCATCCGCATAGACCAACAGCTGATGTGTCCCGTTTAGTTTCAGTCCCACCTGGTGTCCCTGGACCTTCCTAATGGCATATTCTAAGGCAAAGTTGAAAAGGAGTGGCGATAAAGCATCTCCTTGTTTTAGACCATTCTGGATAAGAAATTTATCAGACAAATATTTACCTACACGGATTTTGCTACACATTTTAATCAACCTAATGTAATCGTCCCCGGCATATATCCACACTTAGTAATTATCATTAATAAGTATTTCCATTACTTCGAATAACTACAGCGAAAGGAAAGGTACTTGTATGTACCATCATTGCAAAGACCCCACACCTGCACGGGTTCAAACACTTCAACCGTTCGAATAAGATTAGGGGATTAGTAGTAGCCTCAAGTCCACAGGTGCGACGCTCACCTGTCTACAGTAAGCCGGAACTAGGAAAACAGAGTCATAAAGGGGTAGAAATCGCGCCTCTCCAGTTCTCACGCTGCCAGCGAGTCTTGGGATTTTAAGCCAGAACACCTGTGCTGAGATTTCTACAAATAAATCTTAATTAAGCAGGTCAAATTGTCATCTGCCTCTCAGCCAACCACTTATGACCATTGGACCTCATTGGTTACTCTTGGAAGTTGTACCACCCTCTCCAAAAGTGATGCCAATGGGATTCAAAGAAAGAACCCCCGCCGGGGAGGAGCTATCAGTTAAATTACAGTATAAATCACATTGTTCTTAATCATAAGGAGCAGTCTCTAAACGCAGTCTCTAAAAGCAGTCTCTAAACGCAGTCTTTAAACGCGGGCTCTCAAAGTAGTGACGAAACGCAGGCCCAACGCAGTCCCTCTGATTAGAAGTTAACTGTACTGTCGGAATAAGAGCAGCCCAGAAGGTGTTGTGTAATTGATAGTTAATAAATTCAGTGTTTACTCTTACATTACATATACATTAAGTGTTGTGTATCTTTGTGATCACTAAGTGTCTTCACAACCCCTATTCAGTGAGTCTAAGTCCAGGATCCCAACGGCCTTCCCCTTCGACCTGAGGCCCGTAAGCCCTGAGAAAGAATCCAGCTCTACCCATCTTTACCCACTAATCCCACTGTCCAGGAGACTAGCGATTCACCCCCACCCTTCATCCATCCTAAAGCCCCTGAGAAACTACCTAGGAATCGGACCCGTAATCGCAGCCGGACTCCCGCATCATCAGTGACTGACATCTATAGTGGTGCAGGTCAAGTGATTAGTGAAAGGTAAGACAACTAAACTTGAACCGACCCCAAGAAACAATTACAAAGTGGAGCCCGAAGTAAGGCCGAGTAAAAGAACAGTTACACTAACTAGTTTCGTGGGTATCCCAAACTCAATTAGAATATTGTACAATCCTTTCCTCCTAACTGAATCGTAGGCTTTCTTGAAGTCTATGAAGAGCTGATGTACTCTCTTATCGTACTCCCATTTTCTCTCCAATATCTGACGAATGCAAAAGATCTGATCTGTAGTCGATCTGTTACGTCGAAACCCACACTGATGATCCCCAATATATACGTCTAATATATAACCTTAAAAGAAGAATATTGAACAAAATTTTATATGAAGTTGATAGCAGTGATAATTACCACAGTCAGTTATATCACCCATTTTGTGAACTGGTACAATAAGAGACCGCTTCCACTGATCAGGCAATTTTTCCTTATGCCAAATAGAAGTAATTACATTGTGGATCTTAGAATGTAATATTTCGCCTCCTGCTTGACTAAGTTCTGCCGGAATTTGTTCACTACCTTGCAATTTATACCGTTTCAATTTTGCAATAGCACTTTCAACCTCAGAAGGTCTAGGATCAAGTACTAACGGCTCAGCTGTATGGATTTCTGTCTGCCTATCATCACTGACCCTATGTACATTCAATAACTGAGACAAGTAGTTCCTCCGCCTATTCAAAATGTTGTGGGAATCTGCAAGCAGATCACCATTCTCATCCTTCATTAAGTTACTGCTAGGCTGGTAACCCATCTTAAAGTCATTTATTCCTCTATACAAGTCTCTAATATTCATGTTCTTACTGTTCATTGCAAGCTCATCAATTTTGTCTTTCAGATATTCCCTCCTTTTTATTCCTGAAATGCCTGCTGGTTTCACGTCTTATATTGTTCAGATTATCCCCATTTAACTCGCTTCGATCCTGTAACCATTGCAATTTGGCCTGCTTTCTTTGATCAAATAATTTTGAGCATTCTTCATCAAACCATGGCTTATGCTTCTTTGGTTCATAATAACCTAGACTCTCTTTGGCAGACATTTTTATATTCTCTGTAATAGTTTCCCAAGTTTTATTAACATCCACCTCAGTGTCCAAGTTTTCCAAAGCCGCAAACCTATTTGAGATTTCAACACGATACTGCTCTTTACCCTCTACCTCATTTAATTTCTTGAGATTGAACCTCTCCATATGAACTCTGTGTGTTGTTTGTTTGCTCACTGCCAGTCTTTCCCTAACCCTTGCCACCACCAGGTAGTGGTCAGTATCACAGTCTGCTGCCCTGAATGATCGGACATCAAGTATACTTGAGTGTCGTCTCCGTGTATTGGAAACCATTTGAATTAAAATGCAGAGGGCCATAAATTGAGGGAAATTGGTTAGTATTCGTATATTACTTGTTTATTTATTTAAAATTTCAAAATATTCGCAGATATGAGCTGAACAATTCTGCATATTCACCAGTTTGTTGCTTTACATTCTGCACAAAAGTACCTTAAATCTGTATACTGCCTTCAAAGCACTGTCCTCTTCTGTAAACGTTTAGAGTGAGGCTCTATGCCAGGCTGCGTACTCCAGCCAGTGGTTCCAGGAGTCGACCAGTGTCCAGCGATCAGTCTCCATCATAATGATGCGGGCACAGCGGCCGACCAGACTCACCGTGGGGCCTTTCTCTACCCTCTCACTTGAACTTTTCGGCGCGGTAAGGCTTCTCGAATTGGAGACTTAACTCTATTCAGAATGTACGTGTATATGTAGTGGTTGTTTAGACAAAGTTCGGACACAGGCGAGAACAAGTACGCTTCTTATTGGCTTATATTTCCCGCTGTACACACAATAGTTCTGTCCACTGCAAGAGTAATATTGTATATTGTAACGGATTTGATCAACACGTTGCCAGGCAACAGCTCTGTAAACATGGTCCAACAAGCAACATTAGAGGAGGCTGTGTTCTCTGTGTCCGCGGTGACGTCACGCAGCGGTGGATACTGTTCACGTGACTTGTGTTTCCTGTGATGCGTGTCCGTTCTTCGGTTATATAAATGACAGAATTCTTTCGGTTCAGGGAAGACGAGTCAGTTCTCGATAGGAGATAGCCACGGGAAGTTCTTAGTTGCAGAAGAGTACAAGAAGTCAGCCTATTAAGATTTAACGTGTGATTTGAAGACTCTATATGTGCCGTAGCACAGTGATGTTGGGAGTGTGTGATTTAACGGGATTCTTATAGTTCCTGTGATATAAATCCGTGAAGATAGTGGAAATAGGCTGAGAAGATTAGTGTGGAGTGCTTGTAGATTGTATAAATCGGCAATAGTGTGGGAATTAGTTGCAGTTGCGACCTGTAAGTTGTTAATAAATAAAATTACCAATCCGAATCCCGTCTTTGTCACTGTGCGACACGCGACATTATGAAGACAGAGCAGACATGGGGTAATAGTCGGTTTGTTGTGAGCTACTCCTTTATATTCTCTTAATACTTACTTCCCGTTTGTCTACATGCAATCCGTAGATACTATGAATGCAGTATAACCGAATCCAGTGCAAAATTCTCCCAATTCTATAAGATTAACCGACTGAACTTTATAGGGAATAAATGGTCGTTTTCTTGGCGCTAAGCACCTAATGTTAAAACGCTATTTAAATGGGCCCATTAAAACGGTTTAGTGATACTTTCCTTCATAGAATTAAACTGAAAGGAATGTTTGTAAATTGTAAGAGTCTTGTGCAGAAAAAATCATACTGACATAAATGTTTTTCTATACTACATCTCGGTCATATGAGTGCTTCTAGCATTTCGTTGGGCCGCTCAGGCGAACAGTGCGATGCTCGTCCCCTTCCACCGAGATTCATAAGTCTAGCGGAAACGACATATAGCAGGATATACAGTGCGTCCACAAAGTCCCTTCGGGGTTTTGAAAAATCGTGGCGAGCAAAGAAATTGAGCTAGCCACATGCGGTTTGCGGCAGACCATAGTGAAACTCTGGAAGTTTTTTACTGACCTCAGTAGACCTCGATGCGGGCTCCCTTCGTATCACGGAGAACGTTCAGACGATATTCGAGCTCTTGCCAAGTTCTGTGGAGCATGTCCGCTGGAATAGGCGAGATTGCGTTCCTGATGCGGGTCTTCAGCTCCTCAAGTCCGTTAACTGGTGCTCGGAATGCACTGCCGTGGACATAACCCCACAGGAAAAAATCCAGTGTTATGTCTGGTGAACATGGAGGTCAAGGCATTGGACCGTCTCTGCCGATTAATCTTCCTGCAAATGCCCTCTCTAGGAACGCGCGTACTTGCAGACCCCAATGAGTGTGTTCCGAACACCAGTTAACGGACTTGACCCGAAGACCCGTATCTGGAATGCGATCTCGGCTATTCCAGCGGACATGCTCCCCAGAACATGGCAAGAGCTCGAATACAGTCTGGACTTCTCCGTGCTACCAAGGGAACCCACATCGAGGTCTACTGAGGTCAGTAAAAAACTTCCAGAATTTCACTATGATCTGCCGCAAACCGCACCACATTTCTTCAAAACCCCGAAGGGACTTTGTGGACACGCTATATTGCAAATAGAAAGTCCCCGTGTTACATCACATGCTGAAACTAATCTGTTGTTACCCAAGCATTCTTTGTACCTCCATAAAAACTTACAATCATGCTTTGAACTTTTCTTTTTTCGGAAACTAGGCCAGCCTTGATTGTTGAAACTTGAAATACCGGACCCCTGTTCAAGGCATGCAAGAGGTTAGAGGTCTGGTACAATGTCCCCATTCCGCTCGGGGTTACTTTATGTTTGTGCAGTAACGATTAGGTCGGTGTTGGACTTGAGTATTTTCCTGAAAACAACGACAACAATCTTAATAGTGGGCATCCTGTTGTGTGTTATGAACAAGGTATATATAAGTATATAAGATATACCGCCTACACAACAATGTTCTGTATTTAAAAACAAAGAAGACGCTGCTGTATCAACATTTGTTTTTATTTTCTTTTTACAGACGCAACATGTTTCGACGCTTATACCAGGTCACCTTCAGGCGTACAGTGCTCCAGTTTCAGCTGTTCAGTTGCAATTAACTTTTATCTAATTCTTCAAATAAGGATTCTTTTTGTGTCTTTAAATTATTTAAATGCATAAATTCATAAATTCAGTCTTTGTCAAAATTTAAAATTTAAAACGCTTATATAGTAAAATTTAAAATTATAGACTAAAACATGAAAATTACGTGTATAATCGTACAAAAATGGAATAGAAATATTTTGTGGTAAAAAACTGCGATTGCTACGCGTTGGCCTGATTTTATGACGTCAGAAGCGACTATAGCTTGGGGCGCCCGCGTATCGCAATCTTCTCTCGTGGGATAGGTCTTGTGGTCATGACCTTAGACATGTCTTATGCTCAGTATTCAGTACGTGATCTTATTTGAAGAATTTGATAAAAATTAATTGCAATTCAGTAGTTGAAACTGGAGCACTGTACGCCTGATGATGACCCGGTATAAGGGTCGAAAAATGTTGCGTCTGTAAAAAGAAAATAAAAACAAATGTTGATACAGTAGCGTCTTCTTTGTTTTTGAATACAGAACACTGTTGTGTGGGCGGTATATCTTATATACTTTTATATACCATATTTAGGACAAGCATGACAGATTTCTCTCCGGGTGGTGCTTCGTTCGAATATCGGCCATGATACCGGCTATACTCGTATTAACTGAGATCCTATGTCGTTTTCTCCAGACTCTCCAGGCATATTTCGGAACAGTACTTTGATTTTGGGACAACCGCTTTCTTCCAAATCATTTCCAATTCATTACTCACCATTTATCCTACCATTTGGTACTCTGTAATAGGTGAATTTTATTTCTAATGTGTTTGACTATGCACATGTTTCCGCCAACTCTCCACAGTGCTACTTGGCAGGATACTTACGCCTGAGCTGTTGAACGATTTTCGGGAAGCCAAAACGCAGTGTACTATGTTATGAGGACAACTGATTTTGTGTTTCAGATAATGCAGACATCGTATTCATATCTGGCTCTCTTAAGACGAGTACACTTCGGGAAGTAGGAACAGCTGTCAGTCTGGATTGGTATCCTCAAATTATTAGAAAGGCAGTGTATGACTGTATTTTTGAAGTTATTAGAACTGTTTAGTAAATTTCAATAGGTCGATTAGTCTGTCACTTATCTGATAGTGCAAGCATATGTACTGATGCTAAAATTAATGTATTGTACATTCTTTTTGAGTTTTGATCCTAGGCTTATATCTCAATATAAGTGGCTGCAAAGATGTTTAAGGTCAATCCTCATATGTTTATATTAAAAACAAAAGACGAAATCCAGAAATGAGCTTCGTCAGTTGTAATATGGCTTACCAATATCAGAACTCACTAAAATTGATTTAATCAGCACATATTTTACCACATCCCAACCCACATTAAAACCATACGCTTCAACTTTTTGCAAAATTTTATAACCAGAAATAACAGAGAGAATGCATGGTATTTCCAAACAAACAACATAAGGATGTATGCCCCAGGCCTACACGCAGAAGCCGTGCTCAAACTGAACCTGAACCCAGCGCGCCTTCTCAGACTGACACCATTCTGCGCCAGCGGACTCGAAGCCTGGCACGGTACTTCCAAGCAAACATCAGGATGTATGCCCCAGGCCTACACGCAGAAGACGTGCTCATACTGAACCTGAACCCAGCGCGCTTTCCCATACTGACACCCTTCTGCGCCAGCGCACTCGAAGCCTGGCACGGTACTTCCAAGCGAACAGCATCAGGATGTATGCAGCAGGCCTACACGCAGAAGCCGTGCTCAAACTGAACCTGAACCCAGGGCGCCTTCCCATACTGACACCCTTCTGCGCCAGCGCACTCGAAGCCTGGCACGGTACTTCCAAGCAAACAGCATCAGGATGTATGCCCCAGGCCTACACGCAGAAGCCGTGCTCAAACTGAACCTGAACCCAGCGCGCTTTCCCAGATTGACACCCTTCTGCGCCAGCGCACTCGAAGCCTGGCACGGTACTTCCAAGCAAACAGAATCAGGATGTATGCCCCAGTCCTACACGCAGAAGCCGTGCTTAAACTGAACCTGAACCCACTACGCTTTCCCAGACTGACACCCTTCTGCGCCAGCGCACTCGAAGCCTGGCACGGTACTTCCAAGCAAACATCAGGATGTATGCCCCAGGCCTACACGCAGTAGCCGTGCTCAAACTGAACCTGAATCCAGGGCGCCTTCTCAGACTGACACCCTTCTGCGCCAGCGCACTCGAAGCCTGGCACGGTACTTCCAAGCAAACAAGATCAGGATGTATGCCCCAGGCCTACACGCAGAAGCCATCCTCAAACTGAACCAGAACCCAGCGTGCTTTCCCAGACTGACACCCTTCTGCGCCAGCGCACTCGAAGCCTGGCACGGTACTTCCAAGCAAACAAGATCAGGATGTATGCCCCAGGCCTACACGCAGAAGCCATCCTCAAACTGAACCAGAACCCAGCGTGCTTTCCCAGACTGACACCCTTCTGCGCCAGCGCACTCGAAGCCTGGCACGGTACTTCCAAGCAAACAAGATCAGGATGTATGCCCCAGGCCTACACGCAGAAGCCATCCTCAAACTGAACCAGAACCCAGCGTGCTTTCCCAGACTGACACCCTTCTGCGCCAGCGCACTCGAAGCCTGGCACGGTACTTCCAAGCAAACAAGATCAGGATGTATGCCCCAGGCCTACACGCAGAAGCCATCCTCAAACTGAACCAGAACCCAGCGTGCTTTCCCAGACTGACACCCTTCTGCGCCAGCGCACTCGAAGCCTGGCACGACATTAGACCCATTGTTAACCCCAACCTAGAGTCCCTTGAAGAGCTAAGGCACATCCCCTTGCGCGACTCCACCCTCATGAACCCACATATTTCCGGCCACAAAGTTATGTTTGACGAATCTTGGAAAGCTCTAAATATAACCTACATAGGAGACCTCATCACGGAGAATGGCCACTGGAAAGAACTAAAAGACATCGACACAACACACTGTTCCCAACCGACCACCCGTAGACTGGCAGCAAACCTACGAAAAGCAGAAACCTTTTTCCATCACAGTCACCCAAACCTTTAACTGAAGACCACTTCCTTAATACAACCCCCCAGCGCTTACGTCATAAAACAACCCAACGGCCAATTGATTCCCCTCCCCATACACAAACGCAGGGCATACAACCAGTTATTCAAAGCAAACGTAGACAGAGAAGTAATGATCAACAGAGAATGCCATTGGCAACTGGGAAACCCCAGTGGAAAGCGGTATATCACCACCCCATTATAAGCAAAGACGGCGATTTCTCATGGAGGATACTGCACAATAGGATAGCCACACCGCAACAGCTGCACAAATGGGGCAAGAGAGACACACTAGACTGCCCCTGGCGCCCAGGCACAACAGGAACAACGTATAGCTACACCGCAACAGCTGCACAAATGGGGCAAGAGAGACACACTAGACTGCCCCTGGTTCCCAGGCACAACAGGGACGGCGGATCACATGTTCTTCGACTGTTCCATAGTCACAGCCTTCTGGGCCGCCTAACCGAGGCGCTCCATGACCTGCTGGGCCCCCACCCACTGCGAAAGAAGCAAATACTATATGGATACCCCAAACTAGATACCACACCCCAACAACTCACCAACTACCTGATAGTCTTAGCAAAGTCACTATATACAAGACATACCTAACAACGAAGAGCACCCACAAAAAAACCGCCAGACTACCAACGCATGTACCGTATAAGGCTGCTTTCCCGACTAAATGTAGAGCTGCACTGCAGCATATGGCAAGATGACGTCGAGGCGTTCGAGAGGTACTGGCTGCCTAGAAACATACTAATAAGAATTCAAGAGGAACGAATCATACTCAACAATCAGATCTAAAGACTGTTGTGCACATCAACTGCATATAAAATGCAGTATACATTTTAACTATATGTTAGTGTATTTTATTTTATTTTCTCTTTTATATATTGTGATGTAAAAATCTTAAGTTACTGTTAACTGCATATTGTTAAATAAATTATATATTATTTAAAAAAATCTATCTATCTGGCTAGCTATTCCTGTTGCTGCTCCTTGGAGCATAGGACATCCGCGAAACGCTTGATTCACTTCAGTTTCTTAACCTTAGACAGCCGGCAGGACCCCTTAGACGGGGAATCACCCCGTCACAAGGCCGCTACCTGCAGATAAAGTCAGAATAAACGCAGACAAATATCCATGCCTTGAGTGGAATTGGAACCCATGATCCCAGTATTCGAGTGAACGAAGACATTTTATGACTTAGACGGCGAGACCACTGTGATATAGCAGTATACCTTATCTGAAAAGCCTTACAAGATATGCTCTCACTCATGAAAACATACTTCAGCTCAGTAGTTTATGACTAGCATATAATATGCCCTTAAAATAATTAGAATTAAATGTGTTATGTTTTGAGTCCTTTTCAAAGTTTGTATAAAACATAAACACGATAATTTACCCACACTTAACAATAAATCTGTTATCCTAAGTTAGTTCACTCTCGAAATTCTGGGAAGAACTCATCGCCTTCTTTTCTTTATACGACACTAGCCACACAGAAAATGAGCATCCAGCAGTTCTTCTGTTGTTGCATGTGTATTCGATTTTGCAGTAATGTTTTTACAGAGCCGTTGCCTAGCAACGATAGAGGGGTACACACACTGATGGGAGTGATTTAAGAAGTATGCCGATGAGATGGGCTCAGGTGCCACGATATATGTACCAAGTGTTATAAAGAGTAGTTCAGGTATTCAAAAGTCGATGGCGGGAGATTCGCAGACACACAGACAACACGGTGCTCTCATAAGCCCACTTTAATTTTTTATTTTTAAGAAATAATGAAATAGGATCAAAATGGTAGTATCCAGGCTGCGTGTACTTCAGAATATTGCTTTATCTACATTGCTCACCGACATTCCTCGCTCCAGATCTTCTCAGTTTCTGTTCCGGTGTATTAGCCTCACTCCTTCAGGACCCCAGGACAATTCTTAGAAGTTGTCTCTGTATCCTTAGCTTACATAGTTTAGTACTACACGAGACACTGTGTGCGCGTGTAGAAGCACGGTTGTCCTCGAAAACGTCATTCCTATTATGTAATTTCATGCTCTCCTTGAAACTCGACATCACTAAACACCAGCTAGTGTTTTTTTCTCCTTGGCACTACAGCCCCTGTGGGCCTAGGCCTACCCCATGAACTTCTCCTTTCACTTCGGTTTTTCTAGATCTTACACATTCGGTAGGACTCATTGGCCGGGTGATCAGCTCGTCCCAAGGCCTTTACCTGTACACAAACACAGGAACACGCACACACACAAACTAAACTTCCATGCCTTGAATGGGATTCGAATCCACGATCCCGGTTTCCAAGCGAGTGAAGACAATACATGCCTTAGACCGCTTGGCTACCGTGACCGGCAAACACCAGCTAGTTACTTCCTAATAATAATTATGACTTTTGTTTTTTTTTGCCTATAGTTTAAATCACGTACATTATTATCGTGGTCTCTCAATGTTAGTCAAATAATCCTGTTCTCTTCTAATATTCATCCATGTTAAATACCTACTTTTCCGAAAGATACAATTTTGTTGAAAAGTCGTAAATCTTACTTTTATCAAGCGTCAAACACTTCCCTCTCTCCAATCCGGTTACATAATCGATGTTTCACTCCCTATATTCAGCTTCGTCACCCCTCCCCCAAATTGTCCACACCTTTAAAGGCCTAAGAAACTTTCACCCTTACGGTCTTCCAATTCGAAAAAATAAATATTCTTCTTCCACGCGTTGTTTGAACGCCTCGTTTTGTTTTGTGAGCCTCTTGCTCCCCTGCCAGTTCCTAATACTACTTTCTGGCCGTTTAGCACTTGTACATATGCTCACATTTGACTCCAAGCACACTCATCTCTTCTCTGATCCCATTAACTTAATTTCTGTTTGTTCCAGATGTCAGCAGGTAGTAACCCTCACATATTTTAAAACCCGGTCTATTTTTGTGAAGTCCGTTTGTGGACTGTGATTCACCTCCGGTTCTCCCACATGCAATAAAACCGCTATGTTCACAGTTATCTCTCCTGTCTGTTCTGTGTCCACTCCAAATGTATCACAGGTTTGCCAGTGCTTGTCGGATACATCCCTGGACTGACGAACTACGCTGTTCTGAAACATATCCGCTCACAGTTATGACTAACGCCTAGCAGTCAAGA